TTGCAGGACGATAACAAGTTGTTGGAACAACTTGTAACAAGTCTGTTGAACTCAACAACCTTGTAGCAAGTTGTCAACAAGCCGTTGACAACTTGTCAGCAAGTTGGGAACAAGCAGTGCGAACACATCCTGTTGACAAGTTGTTGGAACAGCATTGCTACAAGTCTGCTGCAGGTTTGTTACAACTTGTGCGTTTTTACGTGTGTAGTTGGAACACTCATTCAATTAATCATATTTATGAATATCATGAAATACATGCATGCATGCCATTATACTTATATTCCATGTCTCCTTTGCAGAGGGATTTAATTTAAACTGGCCCAGGCTATATACCCGTAAAATGTGAGCGACTGCGCGCCAGGGATGAAGGAAAGAATGGAAAAAAATATGAGATGCACGGTTTTTTGTAGACTTTTGAGTTTTGAGGGATTAAGTGAGTAGAGAAAGGAAGAAAGAGGGTTAAAACAATTATTGTATAAAGACGTCAAAGTAGAGAAGTCGACTTGCCAGATTGCGCGACTCGGTTGATAAATTATCCACAACGTTTTGCATTCATCGCCCACGGTGTGTTTTTGTTTGAACATGTCCTTGCACAACAGGTCTAATTCGACTTGCTATCTTTCCATCATTCTAACGAAGCTTATCAATAAATGTCTTATCTCTTGTATTGGGCAAGCATATTGGAATACAGCATGTCTTAGCTTCCGTCTTAGCAGCACATGCAAGATTTGGAAAATATTTCTGCAATATTGCCATATTGATATCCAAAAATGTTTGGAAATGTTTTCATGCAACCCTTCATAACCTAAATAGAGGCTCTTGCCTCTTTCTTGCTTCTCTTCTGCAAATATGCAGAGTCAAGCGACTTTCTTGGAACACATTTATTTTCTCACGAAATTCAAAATCATATCAGTTTTATCGTGCACATTTTTCAATACTAAACCACTGAAAATTTGGATATTGTGCGAGAGCGAAAAATTTGGATGGAAATGATTTCAAAAATATAAAGCTAAGTTTTTTACTCAGAGGATCAGCTCTTTGCCTTTGATGCATGTATATGGAAAGTCCCTCTCTATTTATCAGGGGTTGTTCAAAGGTGGGTTAGCGCTATAACCCTCGGTTAAAATTTAACCCGCTGTTTTAGTGTGTCTGAACGTCTGTTTATTTCAAAACTTCAGAGGGAAAACTCCTGCTGATTCGGACAAGATTTCTGAAGAAATATTTCCAAATTTATAGACAAGCTGTTGGGAACTTTGCTTTGAATCTTATAGGTAAACCTTGGGTTAAGCTACGAATCGGGATTTGTCAATAGATGATACAGACTGAATAGCAAAATCTCGCCTGTAAGGAGCTGCCTTTTTCAGTCTCAAACAAACGAGTTTCATCAGCTCGTACCCAGGCGCTTTGGTATGCTTACGCCATCGCGTGACGCGGAATTAACTTAAGGGGGTTGCATGTAAACACTCGTTCGTTCTTCCGATATGAATATGGCAATGTCAAGGTCATACGTTGATATGGATCTGCATGAAGGTGAAACAATTCAGAACGGTTACAGCTATCCAATGTAAAAGAATTTATCAATAATACTGTCTGATCGAGTTGTGTGTGTTTTTTATATGTATGTAAATTTGAAGTGAGCCCCTAGATAAGCAAGCAGTAGCTCTTGGGGCAAACTTTTTTTTTCAAATTAAATATTTATTATACAAAATATATATTATATATTTAATATATATTATATAGTATTACATTGACATCGATCACAGAAACGTCATGTGAGTTTGACTCAATGATATAATTGTGGAACATAAGGGTAAAAGCTCATTTAATTTGGATTTTCAGTAGACAGTAGTGACAAACTGTGAAAACATGGCGAGTATATAATATAATATAATATAGTTGGGAATTGATATAATTTTCAGAAGAAGGGTTGCTTTAGCCAGACTTGAAACAACAATTTCTCCTTAGCAACTAGATTTTATTTATTACATTTTTAATATACTGTATATATTTTTTCCCGTTAAACTGGTTTTAATATTTTATTTTTAATTCAACCCAACCCCTTTCATTTCGTTACACTTATACATTAATTCCGGTTTAATCTATTTATATGAAGAGCCCTTGATAGTCGGTGGATCAAGGGATATGCTAGCTTCTTTCAAAACAAAGCTCTTGCTATTTTACTTTCAACGCTTTGATACCCAATATCATGCACTTTTGCATTAATTATATATAACACGAATTTGCTTCAAAACAGAAAAAAACGACCGACGAAATATCATTTTGGAAACCAATGGCAGGAAAATAATGATGTTATAGTTTTAAAATCTCTGATTTTCTATTGCGACTCTTAAATGTTTCCGGAGACCACTGTGTTTGAAAATGAACTTCCAAAGCCGGAATTAAATATTCAATTTGAAATATTACTTTGACGTCATTTCGATTTGAGCGGGAATTTTCTAGAATATAACAAGGAAATAATCTTACTACGAGTGTTTTTAAGATCGCAGTAAACAATCAAACATAAAGAAATTCATTCAAATCTCATTCACTGACACTGGTGTAAGTCGGCGTGTAAATCAACTTTTTTCCAACTTTCCGTTTTCCTTATAAAGTTAAGATGCATATAGCGGAGTTTTCATTTTCTATTTTGCTTTACTCCTTTAGTGTTTTCTAGATTTATATTAACACGCATGGATTGTTGGTCAATGTGAAAACAGCATCGAAAATATGCTTGGTATTATATTACGTCAACAATGTTGTTTTGTTTCGTCAATGGAACGTTGTTTCGCGTCATGAATAACCTGGTCCTAGTTACTGTCCTCAAAACAATCTGACGAGATTCGCATGTGTTAAATTCCAAGCATGCAATTATAAAGTAAAATGTTTATAATTATCACATCTCTAATAAGCTCGCACGGTAATTACGGGGCCGTTTTATAGTCAGTAGAATTTTGTGGGAAATGCCCACGCAAAATAAAAATAGAGTTTTCTTTAAATATAAAATGGTAGAAAACTTTCTCTCTAGTTTATCTTAATTATGATACGCGCTCGTCCGAATTAATATGCTACACATAATAATATGGGTGTATAATTATAAAATAAAAGTCCATTGATGCATTCTCTAGCTTATATATGCCACCGCAAAATAAGATTAAATTGAGGTCTGTGTAAAATTGATTTTTATCCAATAAATATACTATATGTCAGCAAAACGTTTTCCTGATACGCCTATTAATTTTGGTGCTCTTGCGCATATTATGCCTGGATTTAGGCACAAAAATAAAGTCAGAAGGATCCTCTGGAATCTCAACCTACGTATAGAATAAAAATAGATCGAGTGGTCTTCTTTTTATTAATTCGATAAATTTAAAATAGCAGCAAAAACAACTTTCTGCATGTTTTGCCTAAATTTGGTGCTCTAGATCTCTTTCTTTCACATTAGATGGGTTCACTTCACGCAAAAGTGAAAGTAAAGATATCTATATTATAGTCTTAGACCATACTTTCACCATTTAAGGATCGCTTGAGGCGAAACCAGGATTATTCATTTTGAGTTTTTTGGACGTTCTCTGGTTTAATATATTTATATAGTTTATTTCACAAGCTTTTGACTGCCAGACTGCAGTCTTCAACAGATGTTTAACTTGAACTCATTGTCATCATGTTAAACACCCATTGAAAAATGGAGTCTGGCAGTCGAAATTATAAGCTTGTGAAATAAGTGCTATTTATTAAACCAGAGAGCGTCCAAAATACTCGCCATGCTTTACGTTTGTCACTAATGTCTACTGAATATCAAAATTAATTGAGCTTTTACCCTTTTGTTCCACATTATCATTGAGTCCAACTCACATGATGCTTCTGTGATCGATGTCAATGTAAGGACTCCTGGAGTCCCCTTTAGTCCCCCCTTCTTCCCCCAGTATATTTGCTTACTAGTATTATTTCCATGCCATGACTAAAAATTCAAAAGTTTTAAAACGATTCACTCATATTTGCATACTGTGCAGAGTAACCTTTTCAACTATCAATGCAGTTCATGCTAACCGTATGTGCCATGATCTGATGTTTTTAGCACATAACGTCATAAGACATTCTTGTGACATACGCGTGTGCATTAATTGTCTCAAAGGTTTTTTTGAAGATAGACTGAGTCATTGCAGCCAATGTGTATAACATTGAGTCTTGTGACATATACATGCGCATACATCATTGTCTCGAAGGTCATTGTAGCCAATGGGAATGTAGCTGCACAATTCTAGACAGGAATCGGATATTGGCTACATCGAGTAAAATGCTTCACTCTACTATATTTTGTGCTAGCTTGCAGGTTTTCTTATGTAGTTTGACGTATAGTTTAATTAAACACTTGCCAGTGATATCATAGTGATCTTAGGCTTACGATTTTTCATGAATATAACGGGCACGTTGAAGGCTGCTTTGCACTATGAGAAGAATACGTTTTAGTTCCATGTCCATATATTATAGCTAGAGTATACTTTAAATTGATTTAGAGATACTAAAATATGTAGCGAACAAAAATTAAATCCAACTCTTTATGAAATACTTATTTTAAAATATTAGATAGAATTTATGACTATAAGATCTAGTTTAGTTGTTCTTTTGTTTCTGATGACAGTGATGAATTGCACTCCGAAATTTGGCAACGAATTTTTTTCGTTGTATACTGATTGCATTGTCAAAATAAATACGAAAATACTTTCATTATCCCATGACAGTGCATGTAGAATACTATATATACACCGATGTACCATTATTGGGCCTCCGCGTTGCACAAGATATGTTCATCTTAAACTTTTATATATTTATAAAGATGAGTTGAAAAATTTAGGCAAAAATCTTAATAAACCTTAATTCAATTAATGCTATTTTAAGCATTAAAATGACCTTTAATCCATGCAGGCGCAAAACTGAAATTTAAAATTCAAATTTAGAACTGTCATGATGCAGTATACAGATGAATTTCAGTTCACAATATCAATGTATTGACAGGTTACTACTAGAAATCGTTTTCCGCCAATACTCGATTGTCACGCGATAATCCAGCGAATCCTTGACGACCTTTTTCGAAGGCGGCAACTTCCTTTCACGGAAAACACTTACTATCCAGCTGAGCCTGAGATTATATAAAGAAGAGTGTTTGGAGTATACGCGTCATTAGCATCCAACACTCGTGCGTGTAAACATCACGATATTAAAGAAAGCCAGTGAGACTTTCAATTCACATTATGGACTATATCAAAGGAAGAGTGGAACATCCTGAATCCGACGAATTATCTTGGAAAAAGTACGCTATAAAACAAGGCTATTTGATCAAGTTTCATCGCGGTATACTGAAAGCACCAAAGATGCAATATTTTGTTCTAACGGCCAACGGCCTTATCTCGTTTGAAGGCAAACCAAGCCATGACACTAAACCGCTTTGCTTCCTACCTTACGAGCAACTATCTTCGATCAAACTTGACCACATCGAACTGAACAGTTGTAAGCTTTGTTGCATGCAACTGACAAGCAAAACAAGCCCGAGTTTTACGCTGGGTTTCAACCGCAAGGAAGACAGAGATGATTGGATGATGATTATGATGAAAGCCTTCTCAGAGGCGCTATTGACGACGCGTGTTTTCAACAAAACGGCAAGCATGATCGAAGAGGACGGAGCGAGTGCAAGCGACGACGCTGCGACGAAAGGAACCGCACAAGTCAACACAACGGCGAAAGAAAAACTCGAACACAAACTGAGCACGGGCAGTTATGGACAGAGTTTGAGACGTAAGCGCAGAAAGGGCGACAAGGGCAGCATTCGAAAGTCAAAATCGTATGACTCGCTGGCTTTACACGATGTTACAAACCGCACTGCAGCACACAATTTCCCTAACAAGAGATCATCCGTAAACCCCCTCAGACCCGAGGCTGAAAACGCTTTCTTTAATCCCGAAACAAGAAAACGCAAATCCGAGCCAGACATCCATGTCATTTCACATTTTCCTATCGCGTGGACAACAGATAGCAAGGAAAAACTCTTCGCAAACTCGTGTAGTTTTGAACACAGAGACTCACTGACCGTTCGAGCCGAAAAACAACACAAGAACAAAAGTGACTCAAAACATAAATCAAACGTGTTCGCGAAACTACGTTCAAAACTAGAAAACCCTGTCAAATACGTACATTAAGTAAGAACGCCGAATAAATTTAATTTTGTAGTGTGATCCGTGACGCATGAAAGTGCGACATATATGCACAATGGGAGATGCTGATTGTAAATAATATTTATTTGTATATAAATAAATTTTCGGGGATAATTTATCAATTCTTGTGTGTTATTGCTTGAAGGTCAAGAGTGGGTATATATGGTATTCTGTATATAATGTCAAATACGAGGCCTACAGTTGATCGATATTCGCTTGAACTGACTGAAACGATAAAACGCGCTTTGTTTTCGACCTTTAGAGTCAAAGCCATTTGTCAAGAGCTTGACTGATAGTACTGAGTATAGCCACCAGCGTGATAATAGAGGACTCGAGATTGACGTTTACGGCAGCCGGTAACCGCAAACAGCACTCTTAAATCGCATTTGAAGCTAATTCATGCTTCAATTTTAATACACAAATTGCCCGAACTTCACTAACAGCTATAACAGTTCATCTCAAAATACGATTTCAAGTTTGCCGTTTGCGTTAATAGAAGTACTTGTCAAAGTCTCTTCACTTTCGGGTAGTTCAGACATAGGGGAAACACAAATTTGTGATTTGTACTTAAAATAGTATATATTTTAAAGCTTGGTATATATAAATTATGGTCGGCTTGCTGTACAATACGATCAAAGGTTTCCGAAACACGTATATTTTGCCAACAAATATTTATACCCGTTATAGTCGATCGATAGGCGGAATATTTTAAAAAGGAAGATTATAAATATTAGTATAAGTGCATATATTGTAGGTGTTCACTACAACGTAGGGCCTACTGCACCGATGAAGCAGAAAATTACTTGTTAACATTGTGATGGTGCAGTGATTATACAGTTGATTTTCTTTTACTGACTTACAAAAGGCTTGTCTATATAAATCTGCAGGACTATATGATGACAAGTTGCGATTGAGTGAGATCGATAAATTTTATTATGTTTATATATAAGTCAGGATTTGGTTTGGACTTGCCAAAACTCAAACCGAAGGTTGCGGATCAGTCTAACACTATATGTCTGTTTGCGCGGTAAAGACATGATAATTACAGCCAGCGTTTAGAAATATCAACAAGCTTATAAAAGATTACTCAAGCATATCATGCTCATCAAATATAATAGTAATTTCAATTGATGGCTCTCGTTCTGATGAAATTTAGTTGAAACATAGTTTTGGACAAACAGTTATATCAAACGATTCTCACGTGACTTGGCGCTTTGAATGATTTGAACGTTTGAGAAGGATCGTTCATTCTCATCTCATCCGCTCTGAATGAAAGAGTGAAACAATTTTTTAATTTTCAAGTCAGCATTTTATTTAATGACGTTTTAACAAGGCTACTACCGGCCATATTGAAAATTAAAATTTTCAACTATTTAAGATAATCGTGACCTGCATGCAATGATGATAAAGTGTATAAATGTGTAATTAAAATTTCAATTTTTGTATTAGGGAGTGTTCATTATTTATACCTGGGGGTGGTACCGAAGAGAAACTAATCGAAAAGAGAAAAAAACAACCACCCACCCTTTCAGTCAACCATTTTTTTCCCTACCCAACTATTGCATGACTTGGATTTTTATTTTACCCAACCCAATTTCAAAATTATACAAGTATTTCACATATATACATATATATTATTATACAAGCTAGGCCACTATAGTATAAACAGTACTATGCATATTTGGTGCACTAACTGAATGTCAAATATAATCATTTGTACCTTCACAAGTTCATACTATGTTCCCAAGCCTCCAAGTTCCTGCAGTCCTACCATATCTCGTTATTGTAATCAGAGGGGATGGGGAGTTGGAATTTAGTTTTCTTTGTGGGGAATGAATGGATATTTCCTGGAATGAGGATTTTCATATTTTGTTCAATTGAACGTTTGTATTGAAAATAATTTACCCAACCATAGGCTTTGTTCAAAAAATATTTACCCAACCCTTCATACCCCAGAAAAATGGCTTACCCAACCCATTTCTCTTCGGTACCAACCCCGGGTAATGAATAATGAACACTCCCTATTTGAAAAGTAAAAATTATAATGCATATTTTAGTGTGATAGTAATGAAAAGTGCATGCATCTTGTATATATTGAAAGTAATAATAATGAATCCTGGCGCGACAAATTGAAAAAAAGCATGGTGAAGTACTGTTGTAAATCGTTGCCAAATTAAATCGACATTGTGAAATGGGGCGGAGTTTTCTGCCAAACACAAGGGCCAGCCTTAACGATGTAGTCGAGGAAAGAAGTGGTGTATTATGACATATGCAATGATATCTCTTAAATGTGGTGTCCAATCTAGGAGTAGTCGGCAAAAGAGAAAGGAAACTTGAGGAGTGCGCAATAATGACTTAGTGCATGCAAAGTCCTGAGACTTAACGTCGGAAATTTGTCTATAACTGCTCGAGAATACGTTAAGTGGCTCATCCCACTAGAAATATTCAGCCCAACTGTATACTGAAACTAACTATATATCTTGAGAATGTCATGCATGTCTTACTGACATACTGTACTAGAGCACAGCTGATAAACGCATGGTTTTGGCCGCTTTCCTAGGCTGAAATTTATACTTGAGCGGGGAAGTTGCTGGATTCCAGCCTCAAGTATCCATTTCGCTTCATTGGGGAGTAGCCGAATTGCAAACGACCTGAACTTTATAACAAACATTTTGACGTTTCAAGCGAATTAGAAATATATCTATATTCAAAATACATTTCTTTCTCCATGTAATTTTGCAATGTTTTTGGGTTTGGCATATCATGTGCTTTTCACTTGTCAGAAACACTACTTCAACACAAGTTCCACTATTTCCTTCAATTAAAAGAATACACCAGAATTGTGCAATAGTTTCCCGCGCGCGCGGAAATGTCGGCAAAAGTTGCAAAGGCATGGTTTGGAGTGTTATGTTTACCGTTATAGTGTTTAACATGCAATGTCGGTGTACTATAATTATCTTGTTGATATTTTTCCCAATTACAAAATATTTTTTGAGGACAAAGATTAGTAATGATTGTTATGGAGAACGAATGAATTAAGATAATTATTTTATTTGAAGCTCCTTTATAGGCAGAGTGGCTGCGTGCAGGGACGCCGGAACTGGGGGCAGGAGGGGCAGCGGCCCCTCTTGCCTTTTGCTAGGAGGGGCAAGGTGGGCAGAAGTGCCCTTTGAGTTATGAAATACTACCTGATAAATCACATTTCCAGTGATGCTTTTTTGGTTTTTGGGCAAAATCATGAGGTGTGATCTTGAATGTGACCTGATTAAGTGCGTTTGCTTTCATATATTGGCAAGTCAACACACAATTGTAGAGGTGCCCTTTCTTCACTTCATCTTCACCGGAGTCTGTAGAGGTGCCCTTTGGTGTGCGTTTGCCCCCCTTGCCTTTTTATCGTTCCGGCGTCCCTGGTTGCGTGTTTTGTATATAATCTCTTCCAAATTACAAAATAGTTTATGGGTTATATTACTGTGTATAAAATAAATGTTATCGCATCGCAATTGAAATGGCCAAGGCAAATCTTTCATCACTAAACATGCCTTAATATACCTGACCACCATTGGCTTGAAGCTACTGACGCTACGGGTTCAATTGTAAACAATTTGTGGGAGTTTGTAAACTGTAATTTATGTATAATTAATAAACTACTACTACTACTAAAAAAAAATTTATAAGGAGGGTCTAGGCAAATTTGTATCTTTCAAAATATTGCCGACTTGCATGACACATGCATTTTATGATGTATTAAATATACGCCTTATATACATTGCTGTTGACCAATATTCTTATGGGTGGGACTGAACAATTAGAGAGCCACAATCGTTCAGAGTGCAATATAAAAGCAAGGATTATGGAGGAATTGTATGGCATCCTCAAGATATACAGATATAGTTTATTAAATTGTTCTCAGCTTTTGCGTGATTTCATTCGAACGTCTATAGACTAGTCCTATATCAGCAGCTAGACTGAATATTTCTTGTGGGATCGGCCACTTAGCTTATTTCGATCGGTTATAGTCAAATTTCCGACGTTAATGTCTCAGGACTTTGCACTAAATCATTATATTGCGCTTTCCTAATTTTTCCCGCCTTTTTCTTTCGCTGCGTTATTACCCTCTAGCGCATTAGGCAAAATCTACAATTAAAGCTTTTGTTGGAAAAAGAATGAGTTGTGAACATATAACTTATAAGATATGGCCTTGGATATATAATATTTAACAGTTATTCTACGAACTCGAGTCGAATCATGAGCCGATAGCCGATGAGGCGCGTACGTAGCCGCCGAATCGGCTATAGTAGTAGTAGAACTTTATTTATCCACGCTGATCCCGTCAACCGTAGCTGATTTCCACGGGGGGAGGGGGGGGGGGGGGTTACATATTTTACGAGAGTGAGTGGAATAACTGTTTTATATATTATATACACAAGGTCTGAATTCAGAGACTTTGCTTTTCGTATGTTTTCAATATTTTTCTATTTTGTTTATGTTTTTATCTTCGCTCTTTGGGCCGATTATTTTTTTCAAAAATATTGATTTCTAAACTCTTTTTTTTTATATAAACTTTATTAATAATATGTTTGCCTCAAAAGCCGAGGCTTATCAAGGAGGCTCACATAAAAATTCATTTGCTAACTGTAAACAATTTGTGGGAGTTTTTTCATTGTGTTTTTAATCCTGTAAAGGCTATAAAAAGCGAGCAACTTGCCGTTTTCTGGTTCGCAAAACGTCGGAAATTCAGTTTGAGCCGCCATTTTGTTTTTCTCTACTAGCAGGATATGAGCTAATATCCTGTTAGTAGAGAACCAATCAGATTGTATTACAGTTTCCGAAATATATAACTGTAAACAAAACAGTATTTAGAAGCTTTTAGTAATTTTATTCATTACAGAAATAGCTTGAAATGGCTTAAACCGCAAAACTTTGTGGCGTTTGGCCAAACCGTAAGCTTCGTTTAGTTGCTTCGGTCAGCCTTTTCTGTAACAGGAACAAACGGGTAGACATTTTGTTTTGGGCCGGAAGTGAATCGTACAAGGATATCCGGAGCTGACCAACCAATTAAATTGCGGCGCGAAAAGTAATATGCACCTCCCGAGTATATCAGTTAAATTGTTTTATTTAAATTCATTCGTTCTGTCCTGTTTATTTCTCTAACTCGTTTTCTGGTGCGATTTTTTTAACTCGTTACCAATGGAGTTAAAATCTATATATATATTGACTCATTTTCCTCTTTTAAAACTAGTGTTGAACATTAGTTTGAACTATTGCCTAGTGTTATCTCAAAATTGTTCTTTATGAGAGTCTTATATAGCTATAGATAGGGTAGTTAATCAGTCTTTATAATGTTTCATGTAAATATATAATTGTATTTGTATATTTAATATGACATATACAGGGCCCCTATGGATACCAGCTGTTGGCTGAAAGGGCTACCCTGTTGAAATAAAGTTTTAATAATAAAAAATGATAAAGGAACGAAGACGACGTGAAGGATGTTTGTCTCAAACAAAAGTTCTATCGTTTTAAAAGTTCTTTACGACAAAATCATAATTACAGTATATCTGCTTGAGGTTCGTTTCTTGTGCGTTTGAAAGTAATAGTTGTCGAAACATTGTTACCAAGCAACAAAGATACACAGAACCAATATTACACGCTGTTTAGAGCAACGAAGGTCAGTTTAATACTGAGTACTGGAACGGAACATCACAACATAACTATCTATTATACTCTTAACACATTTCCTCCTCCCTTGTGGCGAAATCACGGCATTAGTATATATTTATTTCGTGAGGGTTTCTTCTGTCAGCCTGGATTTTCCTTACTATATATGATCATGAGTAACTGAAGATAACGAAAGTTGACCTAACTTTACAAAAGTCGATAGCGTGATGTTTTGTAACCAAAACGGAACTTAACTCTATATAATTATTATACTGGCTATACTTGCTCTCCAAAAATATTGAATTGAATTGAATTGAATTTTATTTGATTTAGCACCACATTACATAAAAATTACAACACAACAAATATACAAAAAATTAGAAATTTAACATGTTGGTGACAAGGAAGCCCAAAACGAAACCACAAGGCTTATATAAATTTAGGCTCCCTTTAAATGTACACCATATATATAAAAAACACAATTAGGCCTAATAAATTATGAAATGCAGACGTGCTTCAGCTTGCAGACTAATATCATTACATCATAATTATTAATAAATTGAACACAAATACTGTTTAAGTCTTTTCTTAAATAAAATAGAGGACACAATGTCAACCAGATCACGAGGAAGAGAGTTAAAAAATTTTGGACCTTGAAAGCGCACCGAAAATTGTCTGATATTTGTCCTACATGAAGGTATACCTTCATGGAGGAGTTTCTTGTATTAAAAGTGTGAGTTTGATCATTTTTTAAAAACATGTTGTCAAATCGTTCAGGTAAAAGTGAAGATTTATGATGAAACATAAATTGACCAAGTTGTAGCATACAAATATCATTCAGTTTTAATAAGCCAAGCTTCTTAAATATAGGGCTAGTATGTGCATCGAATGCGCTTAAATACAATGCAATAAGGAAAATTCAGTTACCGGTGCAAAGGAAACCATAGTACCCGAAAGAAAAGGGTTTGGTGTACTGGTCACTATCAGATATACAACGTATAGATCTGAAGAGATTATTGCACAGGAACTGATAAGACACTGCGTGCACTATAAACCATTTCAACATCAAGAAGAATGTTGATCGCTAAAATTTTCTAAAGCTATATTATTTTATATCTTCTATATTTTGTCTGCATTTGTTCAAA